CGCTAAACTGCGCGTTTTATGAAGTGATCTCTGCTGGGCCGTCGTCCCCCGCAGCTCTGCTCTCTCTGCACCGCCCAGCCTGGAGGCCTGGAGCCTACAGCAGCCATCTGGAGCGCTGGTTACACCACTACCAGCCCAGTCAGGTGTGTACACACACACCTATAGACCTATAGCCGACTTCTGGAACTTCTTACACTACTATTTATTATTAATAGTAGTCTTAATAATGGTCATGTTCCATCCTGTTTTAAACATGCAGTGATTCACCCTGTACTTAAAAAGCCTAACCTTGATCCACAGGTCCTAGCCAATTACCGGCCTATATCAAAACTTCCTTTCCTTTTAAAGGTATTGGAGAAGGTTGTTTTTCATCAGCTTTCCTCCTCCTTAAAGAATAGTGATATACTGGACAAATTTCAGTCTGGGTTCAGAGCTCAGTATAGTACAGAAACTGCTCTTTTAAAAGTGTTAAACGATTTGCTATTAGCTGTCGACTCTGGGAAATGTGGGGTTTTGATCCTTCTAGATCTAAGCTCGGCTTTTGACACTATCGACCATTCTATTTTATTGATACGACTGGAGGAGGAATTATCAACAATTAGGTATGTTGGAATTAGGGGAACAGCATTAAACTGGTTCACATCCTATCTTAAGGGGAGCTCTTTCTCTGTAGCTATTGAGAATTTTACCTCTGTTAATGCTGCATGTACATGTGGGGTACCACAGGGTCCCGTTTTAGGCCCTGTTTTGTTTTCCCTTTATCTTCTTCCTTTAGCAATGATTTTTCATAAGTATCAGATCTCATACCATCTTTATGCAGATGATATACAGCTTTATCTTCCAATGCAACCAGATGACAATATATCTCTCCGGTTTTTGATTGATTGTGTGAGTGAAGTTAAAACTTGAATGGCGGAAAATATTTTACACCTAAATGATTCTAAGACAGAAGTGTTGGTCTTTGGACGGCCTGAATGTGCTTCCATCCTTTCTAAAACTTTTGAGTCCTATAAATAAAACTGTAGGCACTTGTGCTCGGAATTTGGGTGTTATTTTTGACCCGGCACTCAATTTTGATAAACAGATAAAATCAGCATTTTTTCAGCTTAGGATGTTTGCTAAAATTAAATCTTTTCTTTCTTTTAAGGATCTGGAGACTATTATTCATGCATTTATTTCAACAAGATTGGATTATTGTAATTCTTTGTATTTAGGAATTACTCAGTCATGTTTATCTCGTCTCCAGATGGTCCAAAATGCTGCGGCCATACTTTTAACAGGGACCAAAAAGAGAGAAAGTATTTCCTAAATAAAAAGTTAGTATTTGGTCAATTGTGACGAAAGTCAATTTTGACACGAAAAGTTATAATTATTGAACAGGAAAATCATTTTTGTCATGACGTGTTATTCTTTTTTACTTTATCTCTGGATTTGACTTAAATTATTATTCATTATTAAATTATTATAGCAAATTATTCATAGTTTTTATGAAAATTATGGTAATGAAATAATTTTAACGTTGTCTTGACTTTTTTTTTTTTTTCAATTTCTCATAATTTCAGCTTTTTCTCAGAATTTTTACAATGTCATTTGTTCATGAGATATAAAAATTATATAAAAAGTAAAAATTATGATCTATATTTTTCTTTTTTATCTCATATTTTGAACAAATTACATTGTCAAACTTCCGAGAAAAAGTTGAAATTGAGATTTGACATCAGTTGAGTCAACATTATCAAATAAAAAAATGAATGATAGTTATAATTTTGATATAAAAAGGCAAAATTATGATTACTTTTTTTACTTGTCTCAGAATTACAACTTTTTGTCATTAACTTTTTATTTTTATAATTTTGTCTTTAATAATCAACGTGTCCCAAATCTTATAATTTCTCAGAAGTACGACGGTCAATTGTTCAAAATATGAGATAAGTAAAAATTATCAAATCATAATTTTGACTTTTTATCTCATAGTTATAACTTTTTGTCATTCATTTTATTTTTTAATTTTGACTTGTCATCATTGACTTTTCTCATAATTTTGAATGTCATAATTGTTCCTCCATAAATGTATGTGTAACTCGCATTGAATTTTTTCCTCTCTCCAGTCGAGGGTGTTTCTGTCAGGGTATTACCGCGAGCAGAATGTGGAGTTACTCAGGATGTTGAAACGTCTGGGTCAACCTCTGCCCATTTGGCTCAGAGATGAACTGCACAACGCCAGCTGGAGCTGATAAAAACCTGCATAAAGAGAACCACGGTAGAACCCTGCTCCACACAGGAGAACTTGGGGGCCCGTGTGCGACAGGAGCCAAAAGAGGACTGACCCCTCTCACCCTCCATACTCCGCACAGGCTCTGATGGAACAGACGGGCCGATCACGCTGTTAGTCTGCATGAAGCCCTCAGAGTCACGGGAGAAGCCCTCAACCTGGTTATGTGGACGTTCATGGAGTCATGGATATGGAAATGGGAGCGACCCGATTGGACAGCTTTAAAGACTTCTAGAGTAGTTGGATATCAATTTTATGGCTTTAAAGCCCAGGTCAAATTCACAGTACATTAAACACGGCCATGTATAGTACAATCCATAGTTATTGGATTAAGCACAGGTCATACGCTGAAGGAAACAACCAGAACACTGAACAAGGAATGAGACACTAATGCGGTTTCAAAACTATAGTATTGCCAACTTTTCTTACATTAGCATTACATTACAGCATTTGAGGTGCATTCAGTAGTTCTTCAGCTAACGTTGCTGTTCTTAGCATGCTTTACGCTGCACTGCCATCAATGGACGTGGATCAGCATGATCGTCTCAGTTTTATCTAAATTGCACTGATATAATTTAGTGCGCTCCACACAATTCAATTACCTGATGTTCGAATTTTAAATAAGATGACTGACAACAGTTTATCTAATAACATCTGCGAAATGTTCAAATAAAGTTATAAAAAAAAGTTTCATAATGTGGTAAACACATTTTAGCCTTTAAAGGGTTGTCAAAATGATAATTGATTTATAAATGATTATATGTATTTTATAGCCTACTAGATCTAAATTGTTTAAACTTCCAGATTAAGCTTGTTTTTCATCAACCGGTCAAAATTTACAGCCGGGCATTCAAATTTGGTCCATTTTTTGGCCAGACAAAAACTGCACACAAGTTAAATGTAAATGTAAATCCACTCTCTTACACTAGGTGGCGCTTATGGAACAGCAGAATTACAGCTGTTTCCTGTAACCTCGGTGGACAAAGCAGCATTGCGATTAAGAACATTACATATTAAAAACATGAAGTATTATAAGAACTTTAAAGTATTATGTTTTCTAAAACATGCTTTACTCTTATTCATACTTGATCAATCTAAACACGTTTTCCAATCTCACAAAATTAGATTTTATGAGCTTAGATTTAGTTAAGGCGCAGTACAATATGTTTCCAATTAGATGAAATTCATTTACTATTTGTTTCCAATGCAGTCATTTTTGACCAGGAGTACAACTATAAAAAAAAATTTTCAGGACCATTTAACCTTTTGAATCAGATCCGTGGATTTTTTTCTGTTAACACAGCAAGTGCCAACACCTTTACCAAATTTTGTACCATTCCGCGTAAGTAAAAAAAATCTTTAAAAAAAAAAGGTCAAAAATGACTGAAAATCATGAGAATGTTAATGCATACAACATTTTAAATCAGCATCTCAGCTTATGAGATATGAGATGTGAATGAAATTACAAAAGAGGTTGCGTTTTCCATTGTAATGATGTGCACGGATTAATCTTTCACAATAAGATCAGTGACATGCATCAAGCACATACAGTAAATGCTGATTTCATGTTGAATTTTACATTTGCATAAAGAAAACCCAGAATCAGTTGCAGAAATGCTCTTTTTATTAAATGCTTTCCAGATCAAGTTTCAATAATAACAAAGCTATGATGAAGAAGACCTACTAACATTCAGACAAACGCTTGATAGTTGTCATTTCATGGTTTTATTAAATGTATGATCATGCAAAAATCCAGCATCCATGTTTAAACTCCAAGTATATACGAAGCCCAATAGTATACCATTACAATGCAATAGATTTACTTAGAATGAGGGGAGCATACCAAGCAGAGGCTTTTGTTTTATATATATATATATATATATATATTTTTTTTTTTTACCATTTTCTACTTTTATTTTTTTATATGGTACATCACTTATAATTCCCAATGGAGAGATTTTCATGTCGAGATGCAAATACTATGAGACTTTTTTCCCTTTTTTTATTAAGTAAACACAGACAGTGGAAAAAAATATACCAAGGAAAGTATACATGCATATTCGCCGGTTTATTTAAACTGCGTGTTTGATTTCTCCTGTCATTGGACGGGTGGGCCAGAAGACTCATACTCGCCGTCTGGCCCAGGATTCAGACCGAGCTTTCAGGGGTTGGATATTTATTTCACTAAATCTAAATCTACCAGCTAGTGACTTCTCGTAGCAATCTTTTCATTTTCATGAAGCTGAAGATGTTAATCATGTAAAAGGATGTATTTAAGTAAAAATTAAAATAATAAAAAGTGTAATCTAGTTTGGCCAGGCAAGGCAGCAGTTCCCCATAGCACAAACAAAGGAAAAAGAAAACAGCGATATAAAAAAAAACACAAGAAACAAGCACGAGACACAAAACGGCCGTGAAAACAGCATCGTCACATATAACCTGACAGCATCACTACCATTGTTGTAAAGGTGATAAACGCGCGCACACATACACACATGCGGAGGTATAGTCCTGATATGTCACAAAGCCCAGCAGCACACGATGAGGGTGTGCCAACACTACATGTATTAACAGACCCATACAAAAGACTGATGTGTTCTAAGGAGGCGGGGTGTTTTTTCCACACGTAATATATTACCTCAAACGAAACTATACTAAAATCTATCTAAAGACAAAACCATAGCAGTGACGAAAAGCATTCGTGCAACTACAGATGAACTTAAGAGATTAATCACTCGTGACAATCAAACCCTCACTTCTAAGTAACATTAAAACTGAGTTTAAATAGTCAGTGCCAAAAAACCTGCGCAATATAGTTGGTGGTGAATGTAACGAACCACTGTGACTTGTAATCGTACAAACATTAAAACCGTGATTTTAAACAACAGAACTACAGCAACGTGTTTGGATTTTCTCCACGCGCTTCTTGTGATCGGATGAACTAAACGACATGTATTTACAGAGCATGTTCACCCCCCGTCACCGACATGAACCACGACTACGACAACACTGAGAACAGGGTGAGCTCGACACGTCCAACGTTACTAAAACAACTGAGTACTTTTACAATGCAGCTGTGTGGGTGTAAGAAAGGACGGCGAGTTTTAAAGGAGACTTTATCACAACATACCAGTCTACTGAAGCTATTTTCACCATGATATAGTTTGTAAAAATGACTAGTCCTCCTTTGAGCTCAGATTTAGTCACTGAGTTCGGAAACTGGAGTTAAGTTCATGTCTGACTATCACAGTACGTCCTGCAGTGGTTTGTCTACATCGCTAACAAAACAGTAAGAGCGAATCTAGTGCTCGGTGTTCAGTTGTGTGCTGTTCACTTGGGCTTTCCTTATATGAAATCTAAATGAGGGATACAATTTATACAAGTTCCGATCGCGCACACGCACCCACACAAACATATCGAGCGCGGTCAGGAACCACATCTTCCCCTAAACCTGGATGGTGAGAGTTTATATCTCCTTTAAATATCTCTGTATAACTTTACATGTTTATTTAGATTAACTTAAAAACTAAAATAGTCTTAAAAATTCAAACTGAACACAAAATACTTGTGTTATGTCAGTCCAAGAAAAGAAAAGAAAAAAACGAAGGAAAATGAAGAGTTCCACATTAACACAAGAGATTACTAAAACCTGGGCCGCACAAACCTTCTCTTAGACCCGGGTTACATAAAAAGCCAACACCAAACAGAAACACTCCTTAAAAAGACTAAAAACTACACTTTGGTTCTTTTTTTGATATAAAGAACTAATGAACATTTTCACTGCCTTGCTCTCGGATTAGTCGACCCCTTCCCATAATTGATTTTGTGTCCAAAAATTTGCAAAGTATACAAGAAGGACTGATGACAAACCTGTAAACTTCAGCATTCTTTGGGCGCAAGTCCATTTTGTGATTTTTTCTTTAAGTTGAAGCCCCCACCCCCCACCCTCCCAACTCCCACCTTGGTTTACCTACATAAATGCTTTTCAAACTTGATTGTAGCTTCTGGTTCAGCTAGTGATTTTTACAATATACAGTATATTTATGAATTCATAGATCAGTACTTACAACACCTTCTGAACATCTTTAACGGGCAAAAGAAGATGGTTCCGTGGGGAAAAAGACAAAAGAGCACCCCCATGTGGGCGTCAGATACATGCACCGTCCCTTGGGCGGGGCCACAGCCGCGGCCAGCTCCCGTTGGTCAAAGATTGGACAGGATAGGTGGTGTTGACAGTTGAACTGGATATTGTCAGAGTTCCTCACTGGTGTGTCTGTAACTTTAAGAGCTGTCATCCAGCTGGCCTTCACGTGCCCGTCCAGCCACAAAGAAGAAACGTTCCCATTATCTTGAGAATCCAGGTAAGCTGGAAAAAATAGCGCAAAAATAACATTTCTGTGAATGGAAATGTGCAACGTCAGTCTTACAGCATACAGTCATCACAAATTGGTGTTTGCAACAAGTTTTACTCCCTTAGCTGGGCGCATTACCGAAATTTCGGCAAAATTTTGCAGGCAAAAAAGTGGTGTATGAAGCCCAGCTCACATAAAAGTCACTTTCAAACCAATCAGCTTTCTGTTTATCAACACAGCAAATGCACGTGATCAAATTGATTACATTACGAAATCTATATGGGGAAATCGTTACGTAATTACGTCATGCAACCCATAAGTGAAATTCTAGAAGAACAACTATAAATTGTTTCTTCAGAGCAGTGGTTCTCAACCCGCGGCCCGGCACGAATTCAAATGCGGCCCACCGTGCTGAACACAATAAAAAAAAAAAAATACTTTCAGTTTTACAATTCATTTTAGTTTTTACATTAATTAAAAAATGTACTAAATAAACATAAGCTATAGCCTAATGTTTTTATGTAAAATAATTTTGTTTTTCATATATTATTTTCAGACATGAGCAGTACTCACATCACAATTAACTTTACGCATTTAAAGTAACGACCAAGTGGCCAGCGGCAGAGAGTGAGCATATGTTTGATCAATTTAGCCTTCTCAAATCATCACGACTTGACTAAAATAAAATCTATAGATATAAAACAGTTCAAGCATATAACAATGTTTAAACGTTAAACCTAGATAAACGTGCGCTATAAATAAAAAAAAAAATACTTTCAGTTTTACAATTCATTTTAGTTTTTACATTAATTAAAAAATGTACTAAATAAACATAAGCTATAGCCTAATGTTTTTATGTAAAATAATTTTATTTTTCATATATTATTTTCAGACATGAGCAGTACTCACATCACAATTAACGTTACGCATTTAAAGTAACGACCAAGTGGCCAGCGGCAGACAGTGAGCATATGTTTGATCAATTTAGCCTTCTCAAATCATCACGACTTGACTAAAATAAAATCTATAGATATAAAACAGTTCAAGCATATAACAATGTTTAAACGTTAAACCTAGATAAACGTGCGCTATATCCAATAGTTTGTGCGGAGAGTGGAAGCTGAAGCACGCTTTGCAGGACATTTTCAGTGGATACACCGTCATTTTTGCTGCTGCTGCTGGACACTAAACACCGTCGAGCCGCTCTTGACAGTCTCGGGAGCACGGTCTCGTGTTGTTTCCACCAGCGAGGCAATATTTTTTCATCACTAATTGATGGATGTCTAAAATATAAAAATAAGGAGAAGCCTAAAACAGGCCCAAGGCCCTGCCCGTGTCTGAACTATGACGTGAAAATTAGAGGGGCGTAAAAAAGTCGGGGCCCGTCAGGCCCGGGCTGAAATGCAGGGCTCTAGCTCTGATCTAGCACACAGAAAACGACTTGACTGAAAATTTATCAGAAGAGATGAAAGAAAGATAGTGGTCATCTGCGCAATTCGGAAAAAGAGGCGGCTTTTCTGCATTGGGTATGTTTTTTTTACTCCTTTCTACAGCAGTTATTGTTCATTCTAAATAAATTTTTTAATGTAGAATATGTGTTACATAAATACATGAAATGTAGAACATATAAAAAAGTCTGTTACTCCTTTCGAGCTGAAGTTAGTTATTTATGGGGGAGTAGAATTGTTTATTTCAATGAATGTAATCGATTAGATATAATCATAATATTTAGGCTATAATATTATAAATCAGGTTGGTTTGTATTGCTGACATAATATGTAAATGATATGCGTGCGGCCCGCGAGACTTGCACTTGGACCATAGTGCGGCCCGGTGGAAAAAAAGGTTGAGAACCAGTGCTTTAGAGTAAAAACAAAACAAAAAACAAGTACACAAAAAAAAATTAAGTTTAAAAATAAAGTTGCAATTGATATAAATGATATATAAAGTCACAAAATGAAGTCGTGATTAAAAAGTATCAAACGCCAGTTTAGGATATACCACAACAGAAGTCACTTTTGCGACAAAGCAGCAATCATTACCTCTACAGTTACTTTTTAATTGTATTTTTTAAACTCTGAGGTAGAAACAGGCATACATTACAGGCGTGCGTAGACGTAGGCGATAAACGTAGGCGTGCGAATGGAGTGTTTTTACCTGTCCTGCGCGGTTCACTGTAAGGGGGCGGCTGGAGCCCCTGAGCAGTGGAAGTGGACGTTAAGCCACTTGGCATCACGGCGGTGCCACACGCGCGTCTCCTCCGACTGGCAGCTACGTGGGCGGCCCTGGCTGTCGATGTACTGTGTCAGCCGGATATACGCAATGCAGGCAGCATCCTCCCCGATGAGATGAACATGAGGATTGAGGATAGTGGTGTGCACAGGCTTGTTGTTCTTACTCAACACTGAAAAAGTCAAACACATGGATTGCATCTGAATACAGATATACATATGGTCAAAGTGTGTAACTTTGATGAATATTTCTGTAAGGTTAAAACAACTATACGCATAGTTAAACATGACTCACAGTGCTCAAAGTAGAACTTGTGGAAGTCCATGCCCTCGACCAGGTTCCCCAGAGCTTCAGGCTCAAAAGAGGTCAGACCAGGGTCACAGATTCTTCTGTGGTACACAAGAATATGAAAACAGTGTTCATATAACAAAAGATAAACATATAGCATAAAAAATAAATAAAAGTGATGACAATTTAATTTCAGAGTGAACATATGACTGATATCTCCATCATTTCATGGCTATATACAATATTCTCGCTATCTGTTCACAGACTATGGGTCAGTCTGGGACTTCAGTTTGTTCAGACCAACATTTTATAGGACTGTTTGTCCATTTGAATACAAAATCCACTTAAAGCCTTACATATTCACACAATGACCTACAAATTGTCTTAGTGTCTTTATTACAAACAAGCCAAAGCAAGTGTAGGTGTGCTGTACTTACGTGTATGCTTCAAAATCTCCATTGTTGACAGCCTCGATCAACTGCTCCGTGATCTTTATAATCTCCTGCTTACGAGCTACTCGAACAGGACATGTGAAAGATGAGGGATGATGGAGGGAGAGGAAATGAAATGATAAAAAACAAAAGCGAAGTTAATAAGCATAACATACACCGCTTACAGAGCAGATACCTGTGAGAATGTCATAGTAAGGCCTACTGACACCAAGATTAAAAGTGCCAAAAAATGACAAACAATTCATGATACAAATTTGTCAGTCTGTGAAACAGAACATATACCTGAACAAAAATAAAAAGTGCTGATGATGCCAGTTCTGGTCACATGACCCAAAAGCTTTTATCTTATTAGTTGGCGAGTTTTGGTGCGTTCACACCATGCCGTATTTACTACAATTACTAGCTTACAAATAGGACTTTCTACTCTGAGGCATTCATTACGCATTTCTATGACACTATAAATGCCAAGAGGAATGTGTGTAATTATAGTAATCAATAAACAAAAATATAATAAAAACAGTCAAATTCATTATTAATAAACTTGAAAGTTTAGCAGGAAATTAGTCATTATTATCCAACTCTCTCCTAGCTAAAATAAACTGTATTGTATGCCTTTCCTTTATTAGTCTTGCATGATTAAGATATTAATAATGAACAGACATTTTAAGGAAAGAACAACTTGACTATATTTTACTGCTAAACCTGCTGCCATTTTCTGTGTTGACATTACAGTGGTGAGGTGCTAAAATGTTTAAAAGAACTACATAATTACAGTAATTCTGACATGACTTGAACACATCTTTTTCCCCCACAGAGAAAATGAAAAAATGTGACTATAAAGAGCATGAATTTTCTCACATTGCATGATGGGGTAGAAATGCATTCATTTCTATTTGAATGTTTGTGGTGAAAGTTGAGCTCAATGTGAATAGGCCTTTGTAAATGTGTGTGGAAATATGCATTTGGATTAACA